TACATGATTGGGAGATCAAGATAATTCAGAACAAAGCAATACACCTATTTATAAATGCTCTTAGGAGGAAGGGAAAATACAATTTGTTTAACAAAGTTCATGCCCTTTTACTTTTCCAAGAAACACCATGAAAAGGTTAGCGCCTGGGGGTCAGCAGAAGGATGGTTGTGAAGCAAGGGTGACCATTCACAGCACATAAAATACACTTGGGGAAGAAAGCCTGGGATTCTAGATGACAGTAAATAATTATTTACAAAAGACAATAAACACAATTTACTGACTCTACAATAAGACAAAGGACCAGGCTCATCAACCCAAGGAAGTATGTTACCTTTTGTGTTTGTTTGTTTCTGTTCATCTTTGGTTTGTTTCTTGGGAAAGGAATGTGATGGGACTTGCAGTCCTCCACATCCTCCAACTCCACCCCTTGAAGGAATCAGGAGATTCTCCACTGGGTCCTTCCCTTCCCACTCCCTCATCCCAACAGAGGGAACCTCCAACATGGCAGCCCAACAGCTGCCTTTTAAAATATCTCAAATGTATGACTTAAAATGAAATAACAAAATATATCATGACCATCAAACTCTCTTTTTCAACTGAACACAAACTAATGAACTGCAGAGAAGAGGGAAAAGGAAACCCTCTTAGGTTTGTTGTTCCTTATTTATTTAATAGGCAGTGACTCTGCTGAGTGAGTTTGCAGGACAGAAGAATTCACTACCCCAAAAATATGCCACTTTGGCATAAGGATTATTTTGAGCTAAAGGCACTAAAAAAACAGCAGATTCAAGATGCCCTCCCTGCACCAAGAGAACAGTCCTAAATGAGGAGACAAAGCCAACAGAATTCTGTGCAAACAGACCTTCTTCTTACTGTGAATGAAAAATATTGCCTGCCATATCAGTAAACAAAGGGTGTTGCAGACATCAAGCCGTCACATTGCAGCAGCCTGTATGGTGAGCCCTAAGGGAACTCAGGGTGGAAACAGGATGCCTACCGTCCTGCCCTCAGCCACTGCAGCCACCCCCAGCTGTGCCCCCGAGGAGACTCAGGCTGGGAAAGCACAGGCTACTGGCCCCGGACAGCTAGGTGCACGTCAAAGGAATGACTTCCATGAGCCCAGACTCCTGCATCTTCCCCTACATAGAAAAGCGCTAAATTCCTTAACTTGAGGTATCCAGTTTTCTTTATTTAACAGTAACCTTTTGACTTTCCAACTCCCTGGTCTTTGTTGCAAACCCTCCTATATATCTTGCCTCCTCCCGTACTTCTTTGGAGCAGCCTCTTAGAGCTGTCTGAGAGGCGACCTCCTGGGCTTGACGCTGGCAGGAAGTCCGCCAAATAAAACGTAACTCAACTTTTACATTGTGCATCTTTTTCAGTCGACATTACAGTAATTCTCAACTTACTTTCACCTCCCTGTATATTTTAGCTACTTTCCCACAGGTGCCTCTCTGTTCAACCTAGTATTAAAATCTTTAGCTTTCACCATTTCTTTGGGCCTTCTCTCTCAGGAGGGCTCCCGTGTCACGTAAAACGTGTACGTCTGTAAGCTTTCCTCCCATGAATCTGTCTTAGGTCAGTTTAATTTTCAAGCCCAACCAAAAACCCCTAAGAAGGCAGAGGTCAAATTTTGCCCCCCTGCAAGTTCCGCCTCCCTTCGCCTTCCACCCAGCACTGTCTGACTCCTGCTGGCTCCTGCTTGGGGCGGGATCCCCGGCAATAGCTGCTGCTACGAGCAGCTGGGTCCCCAGCCGCTGACGTGCACAGAAGAGGAGGTGATCAGCTGACAGAGGGTGCAGTGATCAACCACACGTCCTGTTCCCATTCCACGTGGCCTGATCATTTCATGGTTCCAGGCTGACTAAGGGAACAGGAGTGCTGTAAAAGGGAATGGTCGGCTTATGTTTTCACATAAAAATGAAAAGTGTTTATGACCACCCTAAATGATAAATACTTGGTCTTCATCCTACTGCAGCATTTGACACTCTGCCTTTGAAATGTTTTATCCCCACTCCATTAAAAAATTTCCCTCTCCTGTGCTCCCAATAGCATATAAAGGATCATAATTTATTTCCCACTAAAGCTAGAAAGGTTAACATGCTCTTAGAATCTCTCATTTCCTCCTCCCTCTTTTTTTCACTGCTACTAGTCTATTGTACTCACCGTAATTTCTCACCAGGACAATGGCTGTTAACACTTGTCCTACTTCCTGTCTCCCTTAGCCCCAGCGTGTGCATCCCAATGCATCGGAATGGCGTTTTTATAACCCTCTCCCCAGCATCCTACACATCTGCTCGGAAGTCACCTCTCGCCCCTCAATGCCAGTCACTCCAGATCTCTGGTTCTTGTTCGAGACACACCCACATCACAGCACCGCTGCTGCTGCGGTTTCTTCTGCTTGAAATACGGCCCCTCTGACTTGATCAAATCTGTGTCACCAAAGAAGTCCTAATGCAAGCTGCTTCTTTTCACAGAAACTTTCCGCGACTCCCTCGCTCAGGCATGATTCATCGCTGCTTCCTCTATATTCCTGTAGCAATTCATCACACCTTTTACAGATTTTAAGAAACGTGTATGATTAATGAAGGCATTTCACTCTTTCTTCAATTCCTCATCAGTTTAAGTTATTGCAATTACAACCTTTACTGAGCTATGTCATTGGCCTGTGCACATACACCAGTCTCTCGTCCTTTCTCCTTGAGAAAAAGGACAAAATCCTTACCATCTTCTTATACACAGTTGTCTGCCACCAGTGTCTTGCTCAGAGAGGGTCCTGATAATATTGTTTCTCAATAAGCTTTATTACACAAGAATTCACATTAGGTAATTTGTCCTTGTGTGTGAGCATCTTACTTATTTTTTGGTAATTCCACTTGATTGCTTAATTGTAAACCCCTTTCTACTCACACTGGGACACAGTCACCAGCCTTTCTAGCCCACATGAGAAGCAACTGAATTTGAGGAATATCAAGGAAGAATCCTAATTTAATCAATCATATAATTCTTTGTCTCTTAATTAGAAAATGAACTAAAAATGCTTTATTGAGGTGACTTTGTTGGATTAATTTGATGGACTAGAGTAAAATAAAAAATGCACAGTTAAAATATGACCTATTGGTTTCCTTGCTTAATTTTATTAATTTCCTTCAATATGCCAGATATTGTGAGAGTTAGAGCAAGCAAAGTCAAATAAGACACCACCTCTCCCCTCAAGATATTTACAGGCTGACACAGTCCCAGAAATGTCAACAACTAACATCCAAAGCCAACGAATCAAGCGACAAATGGAGACACAGCAATGCAGTGAAAAGGCAAAACAGGAAAAATTAACTCAAACTGAATACTGAACGTCCAGAACACATTTCATGGAGGAGGTGACCATTGAGAGGATATTTTACCAAATCGGACCCTGACTGTTGGCCTATTTGTAATGAGGACAAGCTCACTTTGGATTCTATCATTGAAATTTGTTCATTTTTTACCCCCTAAACAGTAAATTTGTTTCCTCCTGTTTCATATATTTCATCATTTCACAGGATCATTTGTGACAGCTGTTTGGAGAATAATCTCAAAGAACTACTGCAGACTTCCCTGATCATGTTTTGTGAACAAATGTCAGTTTTCCTTATGAATTTCTTAGATGCTAAAAAAGAAAAGTAATTGACTTGAGGTAGTCAAATTCACTGTAAGTAAGTAATATATGATATCAATCTGGATGTAAAATTTAGTTATACATAAACAGCCATTTGTTTACTGATTTTGATGGGAATATTAATGAACTCAATGCTTTTGCAGATTATGTAAAATTGCTGCCTTAAAAAAAAAGTTATTTTTAAAGGGATTTCTCTACTATTGATTTCTAAAGCAGTTAAAGTACCCAAATTACTACTCAGTACTTTTATGTCGTCAGTATAATATACTAGAATGGTTTAAAATGTCTCAAATTACTTACAACTTCTTCCCTGCACCCCAACACCCTCCCAATTCCCACAATATAATTTATAACCCTTTCTCCATAATTAATAAATATAGGGAATCTTGTTCTTAGAATAAATTAAAATCTAGAAATTTATCAATGCCTATAAAATTGGTAAATTTAAAAAAAGCAGCCTACTACAAACTTGAAAAAGTAATTACTCTGGTGGAGGAGGTGGAGAAGAGAAAACATGTGCTGTGCTCTCTACATGTATTCAGTTATAAATTATTTTGCTAAGCCTCTAAAATTTAAAAAATATGCTAGGTGTCATTAATGCGTTTATGCCAAGGAAAGGTAAACAATTAAAGACACTTCCTAGACAACACCCCCTAGGCAGTGTAAAATACACGTAACAATTATTAAATAAAACCTCTGCTTCTCATTGCAGGCAGTGCTGATTAACAGGACTGTTATTTGAATCACACTTAATAACTCTGTTGTTGGGCAAAATCTGTAAGTCTCTGCCTCCTTTTTCTTAAACATAAACCATGTATACAACATTTCCAAAAAGCTTCAAAGGATGTAGCACTTTGTGTAGGTTTTCCAGGAGAGAGGGGTGAGTAATTCACTATTGCAGTGACCATGCCATTTTACGATAACACTCCATAAACATTTTACCATGACGCTCAGTGACACTACGGCTAAGGAGAAAGATTCTCAGTAGCTTCTACCGTGCTGGTTCCCATGTCACTGTGACAAGTGCACATGTCCCTAATGACAATACATTTCAGGACTGTCAACTCCGTGCAGACATCCAGCTATGTATCGTAAGTGCACTCTCACCCGCCCTTCATAAGCTCTCCACAAAGTAGGCATCTCTATTAGTCTCATTTTAACCTCATTTTACAGATGAGGAACAGGAGTTACGGAAAGGTCACATTACCTGTCTAATGTCACTAAACCAGTAATTAATGAAATGAAGAACAAGAGTCGAGGACCTTACCTTTGTGGTATCCATCCAGCATGCTCTCACCTGCCAGAAGGTACAGAGCAGTATCACTGTCCACGGGCACCATTAAACTATTTCCTTAACTTTGCATAATATTATACTCAATTTTATAAATCTTGTCTAAAAGTGATATATCAGTGACAACGGTGTGGCAGTTTAGCAAACATCATGTCCAAAAACTCTACACTTTGCTCACCTCCAGTTTCCCGCTTCCTCTTTTTCAAACAGTCTCATAGTAGCCGGCACTTCCACAGACTCTCACGTTCCTGGTGGAAGAAAAGGAAAAGATTTACAGATCCTTCTTCCTGCCTTTCACGGGACTCAGAAAAGGAAAACAAGAACATTAGTCTGGGGTAGTTTTAACCTCATAAGAAGAGAAAAATATAAGCACGTCTGTATCCTGGTATTCCCCCTTTGCATGCCATCTATCCTGGACCATACTGTCCTAGAAAAGTGGTAACACTAAGGAATTAAAGTGATGGACACAGAGAAAGACAGGGATAAAACCCAGCAGACCTGACCTTTCACACTCCTTCAGCCATGAGGAGATTCCAAAGAAAGACAAAAAGCCCTTTATCTATAAATCATTATTATAATCCATATTTATAAGGCTGGGAGGTTTTGCAAATGACTTGAATTGAGGTCATTAGTTAATCATTTTTTAAAAAATTAACTTTGAAGATGAATTAGGATGGCCAAAATTTCTGAGCTAACCTAAAGTTAAATAAAAGAAAATAAACTTTAAATGACTCAATCTCCTGGTTAAACCATTTGTCTTAACCCTGGGGAAGAAACACGATCTGGAAAACCAGAATCAACTTGTGGTATTAGTGGAAAGGAGGGAGGAAAAGTACCCCCTCTTAACTTTTAATGATTTTTCATATTAAACTCAACACCCTGAGATATCCTAGAATGGGAACTATAAAATGCACAAGATTATTATCTGTATGTATTTGTTCTCTTACTGTGGATGAAAAGGATTATTAGGAGGGTGTATGATTCGACCTCTTGCATCCTTGTACGCTCCAAAAATAGTCTGAGTGTATGTGTAAGAAAACAGCTGAAGGACATGAGAAAACATAAAGGACAAGAAGAAACAGCAGTGGCCAAGTGGTACGGACCATCTACAGAGCAGTGCAGATTCTATCTTGAATGAAGTTTACTCTCACCCCAGCACAAACCCAGAATTTTCTCTAATATAATGCTTCTCAGAATTACAGCTTATTCGAGCTGTCTGCCTCTTCTCTCCTTCCAAGGTGAAGGCCTGTATGAAGTCACCCATAGGTGAGTCAGATCAAACTCAATTTATCCTCTTTTCCAGAAGATCACCAAATGCCCTCCCACACAATGAGAGGAGAATGGAAGTCCATGTGTGTGTTTTGATTTTTTTTTTTGGATTGCACAGAAGTATACAGGTAACATTTTATTTGAAGATAATGGATTCCAACTATAGATATTTTCATTGCTGTAAGGGGGAAGAATGTAATTTACAGGGAAGTGCCCTAGTTTGGAGCTTCAAGGCATCACAGACTGTTAGAGCTCCATGGGACACCAGGGAGCATCTACTGTCAACCCTGGGTTTATAAATGAGTCAATCAAAGACCAGGAAATTGAAAGAACATGTGTAGAGTCAAAAACTTGACAGGTACGGACTAAAATGAAAACTTCCTGACCACGAGCAATGCTGCGTTCATTCCATTTCATTCTTCAACTCACTTCTTCTGAGCACTGTCCCTTGATCTGAACCCTTGAAAACTAGTTTGCTGAAATCTTTGAAAGTTCCTGGAAGAATGAATCGGTCTGAAGTACTACTGCCATTTCCAAAGCAATGGAATACACAGTATTCTGCATGTGAATGTGTGTGTAAATAAAATTACTGTAATCAAATCAACATGCTAATGACATAGGACTAGAAAGGCAACTCAGTGTAACAGAATAGAGAATCCAAAACTAGATCTCAGTATTTACAGTAATGTAATTTAATAACTAACACAGATGGCATATTAACTGAAGGGGAAAGACAGATCATAGCACAGTGGGTCATATACCCGTGGAAGGAAGCATACTGCTGGCCCTGTGTCTATCAGGACTGCTCTCTGTTCTAAGTATCAAAAACCTCATGATTCAGCAGCTTAAACACATGGAGGGTGGTGTTTTCACCTAAGCCTAGTGGAGTGGAATCTGGTCCATGGCGGCTGCCCAAGGACACCATCTCCTTCCTATCTTTCTGCTCCACCATCCTCAGTGAGTGGTTTTCACTCTCACCACTGCAAGATGGCGGCAGAAACCAAAGACATTACAGATGAGAAAGAGGGAGAAAGGGTTTCGAAAATGGGGTTTTTTATTCGTTTTTAACAGGCTTTCGTTTTTACTCAGAAAAGAATGTCTTCCCCAGGGATTTGTGGTTATGGCCCAACCAAGGTCAAATGGCCCCCAAACTGCAAAGGAGCCTGAGATATGAACTCCTAGCTTCTAGTCTTGAAAACAGAAAAATGCCAAGAGGGCAGGATTTGGGACACTGTTGCAGAATAAGCCAACCTACACAGTCTGTCACATTAGAAAACAAAAACAAAAACAAAACGAGAAACTTTAAAGTGCACTGAAGAACGAAATGTAAATTAAAATAAAATAAAAGTCTGTTTAAAGAAAGGGCTATCCATCAAGGAGTGAGGCAGACATGCTTAAACTGGAAAATTATACATAATAAAATAAAAATACTTACATATATTTTAATTTACAAAAAAACGTAGAATTAATAAACAAACAAAACATTCAGGAAATGTCTATTATATAGTTGCAAACACACACACACCCCCCTCCCACAAAGAATCCGTACACATTTACAAGATAAAAAGCTCACATGAATAAATGGGCAAAGGATATTAGTTGGGTGATTTGTAGATGAGCGAATTGAAAGAGCAAAATAACATAAAAGGATATTCAACTTTCCGTTCTCAGCAAAATGTGAATTAGATTAACAATAAAATAGCATTTTCTATTTATTAGACCCACAAACATTTTCTGAAGACAGAGAGGCCTCCTGTAGCGAGAATGCCTGCAAAAGGATATGCTTTTCCGTGGTGGTGGAAGGGTCAAGTTTTATATTCTTTTCAGAAAGCAGTCAGGCAGCATCTTTTAAAACCTAAAATGAATACATCCTTGACCTTAGAAATAACATTCCTGGGAACCTACCTCATAAAATCAAAGGCATTTAGACATAAGGCTATAACTCTAAGAATATTAACTGCAGTATTGTTCACAGAGGCAAACCACTGGGGGGAAAATTTAACATCAATTAATAGGAAAATGCTTGGCTAAATTATATTATATTCACATTTCGGAATAATATGTAATCCATCATTAAAAAAAACTGAAATTTTACCAATTGAAGCATTTCCATGATTTTTTGAGGGAAAAAAAAAAGTGCATGAAGAAAAACATTCATGATCATCCCACTCTGGACAATAACAAGTCTGACTGTGGATGATACATAGACAGATAGACAGACTTGTGTGTGTATATGTTTATATATAATCATATAAACATGGAGAAAATATGTAAGAAGATACACTAGGTTGTTAACCTACGTGACAGGGTTAAGGGGTGATCTTGGTGGAGAGGGGGAGGAAGAGATGGGGAGTACCGGTAGTTAATTAAGTAAAAAAAAAGAAAAAAAATACCACTAGTAACAACAATGTAACAGCAGATATGACCTGCTGCTAATTGTGCATTCATGTAAAGCTTTATTTGATTATATACAAATATTTCTGACTATGTTTAAATTAAATAGCAACGTGGACACTTGGGCATAGAATCAGTGGTTGTAACATGCCTGGAATATCATGTGTGATTCCAGACAAATGTCACGAACATTTAATTAAAAGAAAAGATAAAGGATCATGAAAAAGTAACCCAAATCATTAGCAAGTGGAAAACCTTCAGTCTTTCTAGGATTCTAGAAGAACACGCATTAACGTGGACTAGACGCCTCCTTTTCCTTTCAACACACCCCACCCTCACTGTGCCCTCATATTCAACAGGTGACTTTACCAGCTGCTCTAGAGAGAAGAGAGTAATTAGTGGACTGGAACTCCTCAGCTTCCCACTGCCATACCTATAACTTTAAACCAGCTTCCACACATCCTTCCCCTCCCCCATCTATAGTTAAGCCGTCCTCCCAAACTCCAAACACCCTCCTTCTCAGAAAACGCTTTCTATGCGTTGCCTCTCCTTGCTCTCTCACGTCTTCAACTTATCCCTCTTTAGGCTGTTGTTGTTGTTTTGATTAGTATTTAATTATAAATCTTAAACAAAATCATCCTAGGTCTGGGGTGGAAGATGTAAAAATTAAGTGTCACATTTTGCACGTCTGAAAACAAAAAATAATCATCAGAAACTACAGAGGGCTTGTCAAAACAACTCCGTAACTTTAAGAGGTTCCCATGGTCCAAACATGGTACAGTTTAACATGGCATCAGTAAGAATAAGAGCTCCAAGAAGCAGGAAATGTTCAAGAAATTTTGAATCCATGTTCATAATGATCATTTCTGAAAAATAAAAACAAAAAATTAAGATGTTCTGGTCATCTCTGAAGGACACCAGGAAATTAACTCATAATTTTGAAACTGATCCTTAAAGGAAACAATTCAAACACTTCTCTTTTATATACAAACTGTACCTAAGAGTAACCAAATTGTTAATGAGGGAACGTCTCTCTTTATAGGCTTATTGCAACTAATGAATGAAAAGGGAGTATGCACTTAGTGCATTAACAGATCTGGGCAATGATGTTCAATGTTTGCTAATTTCACAATAAAAGGAACAACCAGACATTGCCTCCAGATGAAAGGACAAGCCACTACTTATGAGTTGGTCTTCAAACAAAACTGAACTGCAATGTGATCAAGATTCCAAATCTAAGTACCAACATACAAAAAAATGCAGAGGATAGAAGAACATGTTACATAGCACAATCCAGCAACCAGCAACACCCAAACCAGGAAAAATTCTGCAAAACGAATGGTCCACTTTCTTGAACAAACCAGTAACGACAACAAAAGAAGGGGTAAGGGAGGAGAAACTATAGTTTAAAAGAGACATGAGAAAAGGTAACTGATTCTGGGACCCAATTCCACATGGAGGAATCCCCACACCAACAATTCTCCTTAACACCAGCTCTTACAATTTAACTCAATTCTGACACTATCTACCCAGAGATACTGCCTGATATCACAAGTTAAGGGGCTCAGTGTCCACTGTACTTCAT